TTACTGGTATGTTGCCTTCAACGACCACCATCGGTTGACCGCCAGCAAGCGTCGACGCACAGTGGGGCTGCTGCTCCGGTTGTTGTTCCTGCCGGGTGCTTCTTGAGCTGTACGGCTGGTATGGCGAAATTGGTCCCGCAGCTGATGCAACATGATGTAGCGATCCCGGTCTGGAGTTGACACTCTCTCGCCCTGGCTGCGGTATATCACTAACAGAGCCTGGCATGGCGTGGCATTCAACCAGGTTCCTGATTGTGGGGTGGGAACAGCCCATACATTATAGCTGAAATCAGGCTCCCCTCACGCCCAGTGCCCAGAGATATATGTTGTTCACATGATAGACATGGCATGATTCCTTTCACTGGACTAACAATATGGGTGGCCTTTTTTGGGGGGCCTATATAGGCCTCCAAAACCAATCCACAAAATGTGCAGATGCTCGCTGAGTATTGCTCATTGTGTATTTGGTCCATTTTTGCAAAAAAAAAGGCTGACCAATGTGCAATGGACCATGGCAACATGACAACTCATCATTATCTTAACTACCCGAGCACTAAGTCATCAATAAATCCACAATGAATAATTACATCTACCCTACAAGTAGAAAAATGCATACATTCCTATCTCAAAGCTTCCATTATCTGTAAGTGTATATTGGAAAGAACAACATTTCATATACATGATGTCGATGGGTAGCCATCGCTTATCTCCGAACTATGTCATGTTGCCAAGAAAAGCTGACCTCATAGGCCCCAACCGCTGGGTTTGTATACCCCTGCTTGGATATTGATTATTTATAATAAAATCCATTTTTAAACAACAAAAATGCCATAGGTATTAAAATATTTTAAAAAGTTTACAAAAAAAAAAAAAAAAAGGATAAGAATAATCCAACCTGAAGAAAAACGATTTGACGCCTTTTTTTATTTCAAAATGATTTAGTTTACACATACTAGAATGATGATGCCTTTCATTAAATCATCCAAAATGTAACTTTTGATTTAGAATTAAAATCTAGTTGTCAGGACTAAGATATCCGCAATCAATGTTTGGTTTGATCATCGAGTAGCACTGACGGACATATTGGTTTTCCTTTTTCGTATCATTTAACCTAAAAACATGTTTTATTGTGTGCTATGTCTTGAACGCAGGTATATCGGTTTTTACGTTATATATGTATTTATATTTGTTCCAGTAAAAGTCTATTTCAGTTAAAAGCCTTGTAGTTTTACAGTTGTTTCTTTGCCCTTCCATTATGTTTTGGAGGCCATTTTTATTAAAATAACTTGCAAAAATGAAATGAATGATCGCGCTTTGCATGGATATAAAAATAATTATGCAATGATGAACAATGGAGTGAAGCATTAAATTTTCTATTTAAATGTATGGCTCTCGCTATTCATACCCTGTATAACAAATTGACGGCCGTCTTGAATTTTGAAAAATTATCAATATCTCGTACGTATCAACTGGCAAATAAAGTCAAGCTTATAAGCTTCTCTAAGTTTTGTAACCCAGATGAAATAATTTCTTTTAAAAAAGCTTGCAAGATATAACATAGCAAGCTTTGACTATGGGGCTCGTCGGAGTGGCAAATGGACTCTCAGGAGATGGCACCATCTACCACCATCTGATTAATGTCAAATAAGCAGCTTCTGAGAGTATAGGATCATGACTAACACATTATTATAATGGACATAAATAGAAAAGGCGGATAGGTTTTTAATAAGACTAAATTTGCAAAAAACGAACTTATTTTGCAGCTTTTTTTACTTTCTGCCTTATGTTTTGGCGGCCATTTTGGCTATTTTGCTAGATGTAACGGGCTTAAGTGTATTCACTAGTACTGTTGTGTTCTCCTGATAGGATACACGTTCAAAAAAGCTGTCAATAAAGTTTACCCGGCGACTTCTGGTCGTTTTTCTATTTTTCTTCATAAATTGACGGCCATATTGAAAAATGCTCAAGGTCTCGGAAATAGCAACCAAGCTAATTTTGCTTTTCTCGACCTAAAGAATGCATTTCAGTAAAAAAAGTTTACAGGAAAAAACATTGCAGGGTTAGCGTTCTGGCTACTCGACTAGTGCGTGTAACGCATGAAAGGCATGCAGAAATTCCGGGGTATTTTACCACGAAGCCGATGTACTAACCACGCGAGAGACTCGTACGTTCAACTTGCTTTCAATGTACGTGTTAACAAAAAAAAAAGGGGGGGTGAGCGCACTTCCTCCGTGCGTTTATTTTACTTCCAAGGTGCGTTTTGAGTACTTCTACCGTACTTGTGAAGTGTGTCACACTAAGACGGCGCACTTGACCAGCACGATATTAGTGCGACACAAGTACTTGCTTATAGGTGCATCGTGCGCCTTTATCACTGCTGATACGAACAGTCTGCTCTCAGTTTGGAAGTGCCATTTTGAAAGCCAAAACAGTGGATGATAGGAGACTCAGTGTTCCCTTTTATGTTATTTTGATTATCCGTGTTTTCCACCAATTTGACGCACAAGTGTCGTGCTTAACACTACCGTGCTCATTACGTTTCTCTTACGTTTCTCTAACTTCGTAAGTACGATTTCTGAAAACGTGCGCTTCGCAGTCACTCACTGTGTGCGACACAAGTACAGATCGTACGTGCTCCTTACTTCTTCCTTCTTCCAAAAAAGGCGTAGAGACCTCTTGCGGGCCCCACGTTTAGAGCACGACACACCTAATCATAAAGTACTTACTACTTACGTCCGCTGCGATTAAATTTTCATCCTGCGACAACGCTACGCCTGACAAGAACTCCGAGAACGCACAATCTCTAAGCACGCACGACGGGTTGTAAGAGAGACTTTAAGTTTGGAAAGTGACAGGGCGTGCGCCGTACTTAACACGCTGGTGGCACTTGCTTCTTCATTGCTTGCGACGTGCGTCTTAGATTAAAGTTTTTCTTCACACGGTAATCCTCCAGTCTCATTTGCGTACATCTTGCAAACTTCTTGCCAAAGGAGCAGATTATCCTTATAGTTTTTTTTTTTTTTTTTTCATTTAGCTTATATGCAAACGGACCTTGTGGTCAAAGCGCACCCTCCTTTTGACTGTTACGGAGTATCCGTGGTAGAATTCGTGGTATTTATGTCCTAAATACTAACGAACTTTACATGTACCTTCAAGTTATATCACCCTGTGCGGAACCTTAGTAGGCCATGTATACCGCTATTCTTATTATCAGCTATGTTCTGTTGCTAATTACGCCCAAACAAATAATGCAAATGATGGTCAGAGAGTAATAATAACAGATGATGACCATAAGCTGACCACAGATGATGGAGTCGGAATAATACTTAATTTTGCAAAGATTACTAAAATAGTGAGATCATATGATAATAATCCAGTAAACAAACCTCAGTATGATATGATCTTGTTTTGATTTTACCAGCTTGAAAGGACTTTTATCTGGTTATAATGATTGAATACAATGTAAAGAAAGAGAACATGGGGCCGCGTTAGTTGTTAGGTGCAAGTTAATCCATTTTCTTTCCTTACATACATGTACAATATATGAATGATATGCGAAGAAAGACAACATCAGATATTATCATTATGGAGATTATTTATTTGCATTAATACAATTAATTATCTATATTTGCACATTATGATATTTCTTTCGTCATTAGATTATTTGTCAACATTCGCCCTGTAAGCATTTGACTGCTGATATAGATTGAGCACTTTTTTAATCTAAACGTTAGTTAATCCAACACATAATTTAAATAAATGAATAAAATGTGAAGAAATACAACATGAGATGATATCATTATGCCGACAATTTTTGGTAACCAGAAAGGCTGGGCTCCATTACATGGGGCAGCGTATCAAGGTCATGAAGACATCGTGAAGCTTCTCCTGGAGCATGGAGCTGATCTTAATACCACGAATGAGGTAAGTGAGACATAATAATAATATATAAATAAAGTACCCTGGAGATAGTTGTTTGGTTTGATACATTTAAAGTTTGTATACTCCAACTATTTCATTGCAAAGAATTGACACATTTTGCTCTTATTATTGTTTAGTAACAATAAGTTAATACAATGTAAATAATGAAAACATGAGACAGGACATCACATGCAAATATTGAAGTGCCTCTTTATATACGCATTGTATGATTTCTCCTTCTTTAGATTGTTTGCTCACGTTGGCAAAGGAAGCGTTTCAGTGTTGAATATAAACTTGTATTATTTCAAATCAGTGTTACCTTTATCAGCACACATAAAATATATGAATGAAATGTGAAGAAAGACAACGTCGGATATTATCATTATAGTAGTTATTTATTGTTACCAGTGGGGCAGAACTCCTTTACATGTGGCAGCATTAGCATTATTCAGCCATGAAGACATCGTGAAGCGTCTCCTGGAGCATGGAGCTGATCCTCATATCACCGATGAGGTTTGTGGACACATAATATTATATAGACAAAATACCCTGAACTTGGTTGGTAACATACATGATGATGATGATGATTGTACCATACAGGCACATTATGATTCCTTTCCCAATCATTGGATATTTGTTTGGAGATACGTGTGTCCCTTGTAGATGTAAGCATATTGTTGTTTTCTTGTACATGTTGATTCTACAGCACTCATGTAAAAAATACAATATGTCAAATCTCAAAATCGAAGTTATGTAAATGATGCGACTGAATATTTATAGTACAACCTTACTTTTGTAGCACAAAGAAACAGCATATGACAAGGCTGTGAAAGAGGGTCATGAACACGTTAAGATAGTGCTGCATAGATATGCCTTGCCACCAATACAGGTTAGTACTGTCAAATGATGTAATAATTCTTCATTTGTAAAGTAATCAGGAACATGCCATAATGTGCTTCCTTTTTTATTTTCATTTTCCGTTTTTGTTTCCCTTTTAATTTTCTCTTTTATTATTTTTTCTGGGGGGTCAACATGCTCAGTTAAGCTCTAGAACATCAAGGTCAATGTAATTTTTTCAGGCCCATCTTCTCCGCAAGGTTATTATGGCGATAAGTGACCACGTGTCTCTCAAAGATATCCGCATGCTGGCACGTGCACAGCTGGAAATCCCAGACGCCAAGCTAGACAACATAGAGTATGAGAACCAACGCGATGCTCAGGAGCAATCCTTCCAGATTTTGTGGCTGTGGAAAGAAAGGACGGCTGGAGCGACAGTACATAACCTGTTCAAGGCTCTGAAGGACCATCAGTTGAACGCCTGTCTGGGTTAGTAGAATTAAAAATATATCATCTGTTCTTGTTGTACTTTGGCTGTTTATGTTTGTTAAATCATAAATCATCTTTATTTTGCTATTTAATTACCATATGCATTACTAAACCACTCATCTCGATTCAATCTCACACCTTCTACAAAACTGCATTGCTTTAATTACAGACAAAGTCAGAGATAAATATGCCTCGTTATTGAATGAGATATGGGCCATGCCAGGGGACGTTATCCAAAAGTTCCATTCCTCCCTCCAGCCCACTAAATCAACCAAAAATGGCGTCACGTCACCCCGCGGGAAGCTAATGTATCTGAAATGCTACGTCTCTGAAGACCTGGGATCTTTGGAAGTTCCACTTGACAGCTTCATCGACAGCGCCAACATAGATGGTACCGATAGTGCTGGAGCCGTACTGAAGTATGGTCTCATTTGGAAAGGCATTTGTGGGGATGCGGATACGTCCCCTGAAATGGCCGAATGAAGGTCACTGTTGAACAGGACTTGTGTTTTTATTTGACTTGTGATAGAACGTTCGACAAGTTATCAGCATATTGCTTCTACCATGGTTGTACTGAATTAGGCAACAGACTCGAGATATAACGATGTTTAGAGATTATAAACTAACGTTTTTCTGTATTTTTTTGCATATTATGGAAATATAATGCATATTCATTATGATAATTATTTACAGTAACTACATCGATTACATTTACATACTTTTTAGAATATTTTGTCATTAATGTAGGAATCTGCATGGAATTGTTATAAAATATCCACAGAAATGTGTTGATGTTTGATTTCTACATACCGTACCAATTTGTACTTTTTTGTTTAGTTTTGGGTTTTGGACATGCCTCAAAAATATTTTTTCAATGATTGTCATAATGAGGAATTATTATAGTAATTATATTGAAAACAGTATAATCAGAATTACTCTTTATTATAGTTTTCGTAAAACAGTAAGACTCATTTCAAAGGTGAATTATTCAATTATATTCATTTTTGGTGGGTTTCTGCATGTCCCTTGGATTAACATACAGTAATATGTACGTGTAATGTATGTATGTTATAGTTGTTCTGATAATACGGAGTGCTCAAACCATATCTTTAATCATGATACGAATACCGTCTGTATATATGTTATGCTTCTCTAAAATAATGTGGTGGTGGTGATTTCAATTAATTGTAAGCTGGGTTTCATTTTGATATCCTGCGCATGTTGCTTGTTAAATGAATTTACATACGTTTAAATGTTAACGTATCCAGGAGCCTGTTTATATACATGTATTGAGTTAGGATTTAAAACCATGCACTGCGACAATGTACTTTAGTCATAAGTGAGACTAGCAGCATATTTCGTAACGGTGGGTTTAATCCACATAAAGAAATACCAACAACTTCGTGGCGTATTTTTTGCACAAGGCTACGTGACATGTATGTTATGTTGACAGTGTCATCTAAAAGTTGCCTACAAATGTTGCATTATCGTGTCTAAAATGACAACTGTAGACAATACCACCAGTATCAGTTATAGATTTGTTTATCAGCAAAGCCATAAGTAACCCGATAAGATAATTACATAAGGAGAAAAATTGACTTCGTGTGTCATTCCACGCTTCAAATCAAACTACATATACTATATATTTCACTGTAAATGTCCTTAAGAACATAAAGGTAGAAGTTCTCGTCTGGTGTATATAAAAAAAGGGAGAATTTCAAAAATATAAATTAATTGGATACAAAGCAATGCTCTTTTTGTGTCCTTCTTGTGTACTTGATTGGTGATTTATCAACGTTTCAACTGCGCCGTCTTTTTATGCAATAAAGTTGGATTTTTAATTCCACTAATCATAGTCTGTTTTTCATCCAATGAATTAATCGTACTGAATATTGTATTCCAAATAAATTTGTCATCTGCCAAGAGAAGGCTTGAAAAATAAGGCCATTGATCAGGTGGTTTCAGGATCTTCGCGATATCCTGATGCAGTTCCTTTGTACATGTATTTCTTAGAAACGATTTTTCTTTATTCAAAAATATTATTGTCAACTTAGACACAGTATTTGGTACAACCCTGTTGTAGGAAACGAGACCACAACGTACGGTTTCTCAAACCAGATTTTTTCCACCACCATCTCTTCAAACTAATCCCTTACCACATTTACAGCTCCAAGCTGTAATGATATCTTTATCAGCTCCACAACATTTCTGTTTATGATATATCGTGATTTTCTCATCAATTTACACCAGTCAAACTTGTAAGGTATTTTCACTCCAGCATCTATCAGTATTTTAAACAAAGTTGTTAGATTGAAGGAACTGGACTTGAGAACTATCTCCAGAGGAGTCAAGCCGGTCTTTCCTCTCTCTCTCACCCCAAACAAACTGTATTTGTACTTAGGAAGGAACCTGGCAGTATCTGTATTACCTTCAAAAAAACAGAAAGAGAAAACTTGGTACAATGATAATTATAGCGGTGTTGTATTGTCTGCATTATGTTGACATTCATAAGTATAAGACATAAGTCAAGGCAGTGGTATCAAGGCCCTAACTTAAGGGTGTTCAAAAGACGAATAAATGTCCCTTGATTAGCTTACATGAACAATTCTCCGTGAATTATAAACACATAATTCCGTGTTCAAGGAGAAATAATAAGCTTGCTTTGGATGTCGAAGGTACCTCTACCGTAAACATTACCTCATTTGAATAGTATTAATAGAAATTAAACACCTTGGGAAAAGGCGCATTGCTACTGTGTATAATCAGTTTAATAGTCTCTTACTTGATTTAAATTATTATAGTTGTCCGGGTCGGTCTAACTTTCTGATAGCTCAGCTAAGAATAATTCACTAACCAGTCAAATATGGCAATCCATCCATTCATTAAATCACTTTATCTAAGCAATCCCTGGATACCGTTTCTATCAGTGAACAGCGTCAGTGGCTCAGTTACACATGATTTTGTTTTTAGCTTATCGACGTAGCTTTCCGCTTTCCTAGTTTAGGTGACATTTTTCACGGACGCTGTCCGATGATATTGCCCGCTTTTTTGGCCAACGTAAGTAACTACGAGCAAAGGCAAATATACATTAAATAATGCGCTGCCCACAAGCCTGATACACACAATAACATGCTGAGCAAAAGCCAAAGCAGTGATTTGTTTATCATACATACAAAGAAAAACCATAGGTGTTTCCCACCCCAAAACCCCTTATTTTGAATAGAATACGCTGACATATCACTCTCCCAATACCACCACGCATAGGGTGATATCAATAGCACAGACTTTTGTTTACTTTATGTATAGGTGCTGTTTCAGGTCAGGTCAGGTCGTGTCAGGTCAGGTCAGGTCAGAGGTCAAGTCAGTTTAGGTCAGGTCAGGTCGAGAAAAACATCGGTTAGCACGGAACGCTTTACGTCTTAGTGTAGATGCCGCACACCCTCGATATGTTGTGGGAGCAAACACCGCTTACGTTTTGAGCACCCGTTTAGTCAGAATTAACAAGCAACCTCAAACCCAATCATGTGTATAAAACTAAGTTTAAGACATATTGCTATATAATGTGCCTTATTTAACTACCTTGAGGAAAGTAAAAGGGACAAAATAATGTTCAACCATTATCACGATCGATCAGCGCAAGTCCACCAAACAACAGTGGCGGGTGTAGGGGGGTGTCAGGGGGGTCCTGACCGCCCTTCGATTTCTAAAAAAAATCACACCAATGGTCGTCTATTGAAATTAGAATGTTTGACTATCATAGTTCTAAACCGTACCAAATGACACCATTTGCCCTCTAAAATACCCAGTTTTTTTCGGGTGCCTTCACCGGGCCCTGAATCCTACGCCAAGGGGTGGGGGGTGGGGGTGGGGGGTCGGCACTGCATCCGCGACCCCCCCCCCTTCATATAAACCTGGATCCTTCCCTGAACAATGCTCACGTGTACGCAGTGTACGCAATGTCATCTACGACCTAGAGGTCCACAGTTTGAAATTTAATGTCAACATTTTTCGTGTGGCAAAATCTTGGAAGTTACCGTGAATCCGTAGGATTTCGTATACAACCCCTACGGGACATACGGGCATTGTACATACATCCTATGGATATCACAGGACTCATGTACTTGGTAATTTAAGCTTTAAAAAAAAGGGGGGGGGGTCAGGGACACTACTATTTTACTCAATATAGTTTCTATTTTCAGACAGAGCGTCATGATAACAAAACAGTTGTTAGAAGGGAGTTTTTGTGAGGATGTATACGGTTAACGATTTTGAAAAGGCTTATACATATATGATTATGCACCTCACGTAAATCCTACAGACCGTCTACGCGATATGTATTGTGCAGAGTAAACACCAGAACACAGAGCATTTAGTTACAACAGGATGTAGGTCTTTTGGTTTAAGATACTCATTCCATAAAATATGTGCATGACACCACTGGCTTTGGGTGTAAATAAGACAAGTGGTTATAAAATGTGAAACGATGACTCAAGGAATTTAAAACTAATGTTAATAGAAAGAAGTTGACTGTGTGATATCAAGCTCACGGTATGGACGCCCTTGGTGTACTTTATGTACGGTGCCGTGATATGTCTCCTATAAGGCCAGGTCAGGTCGGGAAATATCGGTTTGTCACCGAGTCCTTTCCGTCCCAGTGCAGATGCTGTACACCCTCTGAGCGGCTTCCAAGATAGATAAATTGTCGGTGCAAGGACCTATTTACGTTTAAAGCACCCAAGAAAACACGCAACGTCAAATCCATGCATGTGAATAAAACTAAGGTTTAATCATCTGTACAGGGGCGGTGTAATATCATCTATGACCAAGTGCACAGGCTGTTCAAAATACAAATAAATGAATAAATAAATAAATAAATAAATAAATAAATAATATAAAAAGTCAACAGTTTTCATTTGAAAACAAAATGTAGAAAGTAGTAAGAGACGAGGTTTTCAACCTGCATTTTCGGAGGAGGTATATACTTTTAATGTAATTTTTTTAGTGAACCTTGAACCTTTTGAGGAGGAGTGTACTTTCAATGTAATTTCTTAGTGACCCCTGAAACAGAAAGGAGGCTTTGCAAGCGAATTTTAATGACAATCATTTTAGTGTAAACGAGGGACGAGCAAATTCTAATGATGATTCAATAAAACCTAATAGGAGTTTTTTTTTTAAGAATAAATATAATTGTATAGCGAGCAAAGAAACGTAAAGGAGGGGTTTGTATGGTTATTTTAGCTATATTTAATTTCAGGAGTTATTGGAAAAAGTTTTTGATTATTTATTTTATTGAAAGGGCAATTTGAAACCCTTTTTTCTAGAAATGCGCAGAAGAATGCGTTTGGTGCGCCCTCACCCATCTCGTGTTTGTGAATATACAGCTGAATGCGTTAAGGCTTGCATGAGCTAGAAACCTCTTGAAAATACAATGCATCTAAGCGGTCTGTGCCAACCAAGCAGAAAATTGATTTTGTCATTTCTGATGTCTTCTAGCTGACCCGTGATATGCTTACAAAGGAAAGTTCTAGAATATTTTGGGAATCATTGCAATAATTAAGACACAGAGGGAGTTTTAGAATATACTGGAACTTTGAAAAGTTTTTTTTAATATAAAAATCATAGACACCTAGGTTTCTGCACCTCACATACCGGCAATATATCAAAAGTATTATTGTATGCGCAGTGAACCCATGCGGTCTGCGCCAGCCATGCGGTAAATTGATTTTGCTATCACTGATGTCTCTGAGCTGACCCGTGTTATACCCACAAAGAAAAGCTCTAGAATATGTTGGGAAACATTGCAATAAGACACACAGAGAGAGTTTTAAATGTACTGGAACTGTGAAAAGTTTTTTTAATATAAAAATCATAGACGCCTAGATATCTGCACTTTACATACCGGTAATATATGAATATCATTGTACGTATGCGCAGTGCACCCAAGCGGTCTGCGCCGGCCATGCAGTAAATTGATTTTGTTATTACTGATGTCTCTGAGCTGACCTGTGATACGTTCGCAAAGAAAAGTTCTGTAATATTTTGGGAAACATTGCATTAAGACACAGAAGGAGTTTTAGAATATACTGGAACTGTGAAAANCAGTATAGGTGATGTCTCCATCTTTTCAATGGGCAAAAATGATCAATCTTTTAGAGTGACAATTACAAAAATTATGTTTTGTTATGTATTAATTATAGCATTTGTGGTACTTTTAATGTATAAAATAGAACTATAGTGTAGCCTGCTTTTCATTTTTGTTGCTTCTACCTAACAGGATTGTTCTTATTTTAAGAATTTATGCCTTCAAAAAATCAATATCTGTAAAATTCAGAATTTTCACCATTAAAAAGATTGAATCATTGCTGTAAGCTAGAACATAAGCTAGAACATGACACAACAGGTTGGATAACTTGAGAATGATAAAAACAGTTAGAGAAAGAATACATGTTTGTGAGGCACTAAGTTAAAACACAAAGATGCTCTGTCAGGGAATGTGTTAGGTGTGACATTGTGTTTGACAAGTATGCCTGTCTATGGGAGACTCAGAGTGTGTTAGGTGTGACATTGTGACAGACTTGGGAGTGATATATTGTCATTGATAAGTGTACCTCACCTTAGCAATGTGAAAGAGACTGCAGTCTGTCAAGTCACATGACATACAACTTAACTCTTCCAAATTCCTGCAGTGTTCTGTCAGCTTTATAATACCAGGATCCTTTATCTAAAAGCCAATAAAAACATACAACAACTTCATGAAGTTGTACATGTATGGCAATGGGAATTACTTGCATGCTCCTTCAGCTTTCAATTGGCCAAATGGACAGTGGACTGATAGGTTTATCAAGGACCTCTGAATTTTACAGAAATATTTCATAATTTATTTCCAAAATACTGAAAGGTTCAACTCTGAACTATTAGCATACTACTGCCACATGCACAGCTAAGCTAAAGCTTCAATTGTATTCAGACTTAGGTTATCTTGCACTGAAAAATTTCTTAAAACCTCATCAAATAAGCAGATGACATATGTATTCTCCATGTGCCTTTTCCAAGTCACTAATATGGTGGCATATTTAAGGCTGACTTTTGGTCTAAATCAGTTCTGGTCTTAGCATGACTTTAACTCACAGAAAAGCACTGGTCAAGACAAACAGACTTCAGCCGTGGACACCCCTCAGAGAGCTGGACGACCCCGTGGTCTGTTATATCTCGTGCCTGGCTGAGTCTAATGTGGGACAGGTTGGGGCAGTTACAGGATATCTGGAACATATGAGGTAACAGTAGACATAAATTACTGTACTTGTGAAAATATTCACTTTAGAGGCTATCATATTTAACAGTTAAGGTATCCACAACGGGCATCAGTTTGGTCCAGTACTTCTATAAATAAAAATATATTGTGTTATACACAGGTTTTCAATGTAATTTTGGATTTTGTCACAGTTTATACTGTACTTGTTGAAATATGATAATATACAATGTAACAGGCTTTGTATGTTTAACTATGGTAGGCATTCCTTATTTAATGGCATTAAAATACACATATACTAATACATGTACAATTATGAGGTGAAGGTGGGGAGAAAGTGAGACACCCATGTCTTAAAATTGCCAATGACCATACATGGACAGACATGGGTGAAATCTCTCCCCTCACTCCTTCACCTTATTAATCAATATATCAATCATTATATGGAGGAAAGTATTCTCAATATTTTCAAAATGATTTTAACACCGTATATTACTGAATCTGCCCTTCGTGGAAAGGAAATCACCGAGGCAGTAGAATATTCTTACCCTCGCCAGTGCTACATCAGATAAAGCATGCAGGTTCTCCAAGTTGAGGTGCTTTAAAAACCTGCAGTCACTCAGTTCACAGAAAGCTTGGTCTGAGAGCTGCTGGCACCTGGAAGATTACACACATTTCAAGTTATTGGACACAGCACGATGAAGCAATAACAGCACAATAAATTACAAGTAGAAAATATTAGATTGGCTCAATAGAGAGTCCTCTCATATCAGAAAAACATTTGTCCAGAACTTTGATTTTCAATGATTCTAATCTTCTGACCGGAAGTCTAAGCTGTAGTGAGAAGTATAGTGATTCAGTTTATTAAACTGAAGCTGACCTTGGCTTACGATGAGTAACAGAGCAACCATTAATCCCAAAAGGTTTAAACTGGTAAAAAGAATCAAAAACATGAGTTTCTACTTACATACATATATTAAATTTAAGAAATTATTATTTTACATATAACATCTCAACCAACAGTGTAAAACCTCAATCTCTACTTAATTCAAACCAACCTCATTAAACATAGTGCAGAATATGTACACGGTATACTAGTACCTTGAAGCCTTGAAGACCTCCAATCTCTTGCAGTTTTTCAGTAAACAGGCCACCCCTTTGTTGTTCACTAGCCTAGAGTCTGTGATGTCCACTTCATACACATTTTCACTGTACGATGTCAGTCTTTCTAATACAGCATTATCCACCTTGACAAAGCCTTTAACTCTTACTGTCCTCCATAAGTCACTGTCTCTGGCCAGAGTACTCCAGAGTTTACAGACAAGGGAAGCACGGCAGAGCAAATCTGGTAATGGGAGGCATGTGAATATTCTAAGCAGCACATTATGTGGCAGCTCATTGATATGATATTGCGTTAGGTGTGACATTGGCTTGTCATGGTTGTCCGATTGTGTTGGGTGTGACAACAACATGTCTTTTTCCTTTTGAAAACGTTTCTGAAATCCTGGACAAGCATTTGTCAAAGCTGCACTTTTTTTCCTCTCTTCACAATGACACACAGGCCATGGCACACTGTCTGATTTTTCAATGCTTGGTTTATCACAGGCACAACTTTTGGAGCATTTCAGTACAAAATCCTGGTTCATACTGTACATTCTCTTCTGACAGAAAATTTTGTCCCGACTTTTTGATGATGCACATGTAGGTCCTTTATATTGGGAACTTGTCAACTGTGACATAGCTGCAGTGTGTTGACTATCATTCCACTGTGATGGCTTGGTAAAAACTTGCTTAATCTGAGAATGCGTAAGTTGTGAAGTACTTGCATTGCGTTTGGTGTGACAGTGAGAGAGATGAGGTGTGGGGGCTGCATTTCTGTCTATATACACTGGATGCCAGTGGTCATTATGCTGTTCTAACTGATAGCTTGGCTCTCTAGGCAATACACCACTGCCACCTGTACATTGAATTGTGGATTGGTTTTCTCGAATCTTAAAAAGCATTGGTAGTGATCTCTCTGCAGTCCTGTCATCTCTGGTCACTGTGACATTTACTGCTGGCTGTTCTGGAAACTCCATTTTACTGGCAAGTAGTACACTCTGCTTCTCAGTCCCTGCACTTGTCGTCTCTGTCTGAATGCTTTCATCAAACCCGGTGCCTGTCTGCTTCTCAGGGGGAACATCCTCCATTTTAGCCCTGAAAAGATATATCAAACACTGAGTTGGTGAGCTTAATTTCTTGAATCTGCAAGAAATATTTACCTACTAGAAATCAAATCTTTAATGACCATGTACCAGTATGCAATATTTTATTACTTCACTCATCCTATTTTCCTGTTGTAATTTTAATCAATAGAAGTAGTTAGAAATAGTAGTAGTAAACATTGCATCTTTATCTAACATATTCTGCCGGTGAATAGCTACTCAGCTTATGTTTATACTTTCATTCTTTCCGACATGAAATAAACTTCATTGTATTGTATTGTATTGTATTGTATTGTAATGTACATCCTACATGCATTTTTCCTGTCATAAAGATAAAATTTATTTGAAGAGCAAGGTTGCAACTACTGTATGCTTCTAGCATGCAGGTTTAAGTTGCAATGCAAGTATAACTACTGGTAGTAATGACAATGTACACGTAAGGACAACATGAAAGTAAAACCACAATTTTTAAATACACCTGTAAACCATAACCAATCCCTAGTGAACTGATTTTAGCCAATTAATTGCCAATAGCAAAAACCATTAAAGGTTTGAACACGTTTAAAGTGCAGGGCCTTATTCTACTTAAACTATACCATGACAATACAAACTGTCCTTGATATGTCAATAAAGAGTAAAACATTTATAAACAATTCTCATGTCCTCACCTGTGGAATCCCGTGTATAGTGCGTCTACGTCATCAATTTATGTGAACACTAAAACTGGTGACGTCATGTCGTAATCGAAGCGGAAGTCAGCGGAACGAGGAAGTCATCAAGATTTTTGCATATAGAAAGTTAGCTTTAATATGACATAGAAACGATAAGCGAGCAGGTAAGAGAGCCTGGATGGGTATCATAAACTGTGAGGTGTAAAAGCTGTGTTTTGGTGTGGGATGTAGCATGATAACTAGCCATAAACCCCTAGATTTTATGTTTGCGTACCCTTTGCTAGACCGAATCCTATCATAGTTTAGGCGAGGCAACCACTAGCACTAGCAGTAATGCATGTGGTATCAGTTTTAATTATACCATTGTGCGTGCCAAGCAATTAGGTCCCTGTGAATGTTAAAATACGCACAGCCTCAATTTATACATTTGACTGTGTTTGATAGTTATAAACCATAGTCTATTCGATGTTTAGAAATAGAAATCAGTTCTAAGTGCATCGCCTATGACTGTGTATCTAACATAGTAAGACTGTCCTCTAGTATTACTTTTACATAGTCACAATTCTCTAGTTTTTATTTGTTGTGCTAAATTTCAAGTGGAACTGGTGCTCTCTGAAACATTTAGATCAAGACATTTTTTAGTTTTTAAATTGCTGCAAAATGACTAAGTAGATACTGGGTAAAATCCCCTCCACTCCCACACCAAATATTATAATGAGCTATAATGGGTTGTTTAAAGATCGACAAAATCATATTGATTTTCAGCATTAGTGAACAACACAGAAATCTATTATACAGGGAAGTTGGAATTTATATAAAAGACAAACTTCCATCAACTGTTTTTTTTTAAGTAATGTAAATAACAAGTACTAGTACTGTATATCAAGATGTGATTCACTGAAGACAGTGAAAATATCAGATCTGGACAAAGACTTAGTTACACTTCACAGCTTTGGAAGTGAATAATCTTCTTGTCTCTATTTTTATATCACTACATCAGTATATGCATACTGTATATACTGAGCATCCTTAAAAATTAACGGGTCAGTAATTATTATCGCCTTTTGTCACTGAGTATGGTATGTGTTCTTCTTCTGTACTTTACCACATGTTATGACCTGTGATCAACATAAACAATTCTGGGCCATGTAAGTCAAGTATATATTTAAAATAAGTACAAATTTCAAAAAACAATAACCAAATTATACTTATTTTCTAAACCTTGCATCTTTAAAGATGCTGAACATATTTAAAATGATATTTGGAAGGTGATAAACACATGAGTAATTTAGTAAAACAGGATATTATGTCAAGATTGAGTTTATTTTAAATGTAATTGAAATACGCTTTAATATATTTATTTTTAGTTGTAACATTTACTAGTATTGAGTTTAGTGCACTGGAAATCCATGTTTGGAGAAGTAGTCAGTTTTCTCTCACTGGTGCATCCAGTAATTTCCATTTTAATATCTGCCCCATTATACTTAGTGTCACATGAAGTCATCTTGAGACCAGTTTGACCACTAAATACCATTCGTTACTAAAAAGTGGCTAACCTCAAGTACTGGAAACCATCAGGTATGCAGTGACTTAGTGGAAGGATATAGAACAGCACAAAGTTCATGAAAAATGTTTTAAATTGGTCTGAGGCACCAATTTGATCTCCAAAGGATGTTTTTCATGAATCCCTTGCCATTCAATATTTCTCCATTTAGTGGCAGTATAACACATTTATCAGATGATGATCACTGAGATTGGGGTTATTAATTAAAGTATTGTGAATATTTCACCAGACTTCTGTTACTATATATTAATATACAGCACCATCTGTTAGGTGGCAAAACTACAGGTAGGTCACTAGGTACCTGTCTTAAACTATGTCACTTGGTACCAGTATTAGACTAGGTCACTAGGTACCTTAGACCCCATTCCCACAGATTTTAGAATGATCTATCCCTGTGGGAAGTCTCACTAGATTACTGTCAGCTTAGCCGGCTTAAGAGTCTCCGCCTACTAAAAGCTGTAAAGGGGTAATTAACTACCATGCGCTCTGGGCTGACATCGATTTAGCTTGAACCCCCAGGGAGTAAGGTTGATCTAGATAGATAGATCTAAATCTATGGGAATGCACTCTAAAACTAGGTCACTAGGTACCAGTCTTAAACTTGGTCACTAGGTATTCGTTTTTTATTACCATACACTGTCAGTAATTGAAACAATACTCAAAGCAGGAAGAAGGAAGTCCGGTTTTCAGCAATTTTCAACCAGTTTTACAGCCAAATTTCCCCAGTGACTTTATATTTTAGTCTATTTCTTATTATTTCTTTTTTTAAGTGGAGAGGGGGTTCTGCAGGTGAAGGAATAGTAGAAGTAAATGTGTTCCTGTCAAATTCAAAAAGGGAAGTGCTTATCTCATATTGATAATAACTGCTCAATGGTCTTTTTGTGATCAATATTTGGATAGTCTGATCATGAAAGTACATATTTTATTTTAATTAACCCTTATGTTCACAGAGCTAGAGATTAAACACTGATTTTGACTATGAAATTATGAAAAAAAAACATTCACATGTCAAAGTTATTGTTACCTTTTATTAAAACCGCAATGAAGTCACTAGTACACTAATTCTTTAAACACTGAATATGTTGCAACAATTTACAGAGAGCAGTTCCTAGTAATTGTTTTCCTTGTGAAAGGGAATTTTGATGATTAAAAAGGAATCAGTAAGTTATTTCTCTGTGGTTAGTTGACATCTGATAAGGAGGTGATAGGAGGTCAGCATGAGTCAACCTCTTATGCTTAGTTATATGTTCTCACGCTGCAATCTACAGTTTTCTCTTTGAGACTTCTATACTATTGATTTCTGATCACTGATAATATGTGAAATAATTTTGTTATGTTAAAAGCATTCAATCTGGCATTTAATACATTGAGAAATATTTACACCAATAATCAGTCAGGTACTAGCTGTTAAGGGCTGTTTTTTGTCTTGGTTTATCAACAAAGATAAACAAAAGCTCCAACCTAATTGTATTGCCAGTGTGCAGTATTTAAGTAGGATCATGTTTGTTGATGGATAACGGCCAAATATCTGCTTGCTTATACATCTGGTATATATTTATAGAGTTGTCTGACTTTGAATATAATACTTTTGCTCTTTATTTTTCAGTATGTTATTGGCTGTTATAATCTTTATTGATTTTCTTTGTTAGAACAAAATGAAGTTTGGTGCTACTCTGCAGCAGCCCAAATCCCATGATGCATTGCTTCGGCTGCAGGATGCTGAAGTGCGTCTGCTGGAGAGCATGCGCAAGAGTATAGAAATGCGGATAAAGAGTGACAAAAGCTATGCCAACGGACTGGGAGAGATGGTCAAACAGGCTCAGAGACTGGACAATGCCGAATTCAGTAACCCGATATTTGAGGTAGGTGAAAGTAGAACACGGGATGTTACCTAGATTTAATATGTCTTTGAGTAAAAATCTCTGCTTTCATTATGTGGCATTGAAAAAGCATGTCAATAAGTTTAAAATGTTAACTTAATTAACATTACTCAGAAATTACTGACTATAAGCAAGTTTGATTGAATTTGAAACAAGTCATAATATGTATTATATTATTTGCCTCAAACCATTTTATTTATATTTACTTTATATCTTTATTATCATTATTACCAATTTATTAATATAGGTATGGGGAGAGATAATCAAGAAAACTGAAGATATAGCCTCACGTGTAAGGCAGAATGCTGAAGACATGTCTTCTAAGACAGTTGAAAAGTTGAGCTTGCTGATCAATGAAAAAAAAGCATCGAGAAAAATGTTAGCAGAGGAGAGACAGAGGCTGGACGCAGAGTTAGCAGCAGTAAGTTCTCCTCCCAAGTATTTTGCCCTGAAAAAGAAAAATCTGCATATTTAATTGCCATTTGGTTTTTAAACATACCCCTTCACATGTCCACACACACGCTGTTGCACACGCGCGCACACCCACATCCACAAAAACACACATGTACACGTGAATGCAGTTTCTGAGAAGACTCTTGGGAATAGTGCCTGTCTGTGTGTACTGATTTGAATTCTGTCTTTTACAAATTTTCTTTTAAGATGCTGCAATCAAATTAAAGAATTTGCTGAAATCAAATGACATTCTGTTTGTTGTTTCCTTTGCAGTCAAAAAGGGAGGTGGAGACACAGAAGTCAGAATATGCAAAACTGGTCGACAAATTGAAGACAGAAAGAGCAAAGTATGAAGACTTGTACAACAAAAGTAAGTGTGTCAGGAGTTTGGTTTCATTTTTGATATATTTTAAATTGTTTTAAATGTTCTCTTTTTACTCATCTCTTGGCTTACAGGAGTCATGTAAAAACATATTCATCATTCTGTGTCAAATTTTAAAACTTGCTGACTCTTTGAGGTTCTAAGAATGCACTGGCCCAAAGCAGAAACAGCAGCAAGTGACTGAACAAATTTACAAAATTTTATTGTTTTAGCTTCAGTTTTGGACAGCTCTTTGTAAGTTTCTTATTTTACACACCACCTTCTTCAAATTACAGTGTATTTAGATTTTCATCACATACTCAATGCATTATATTCATATTACCAGATAAATTAAAGTCATTTTCATTTCATCGTGCTAGGTAAAGGTGGCAGTAAGTTTGAAGAAGCCAAGAGCAAAGTTCTCAAGACTTGCACCAGGCTTCACAAGACACACAACCAGTACGTGGTGGCCATACATGACTACAACCAGCAGCACTCTGCCTACCTGAGGACCACCCTGCCTGGCCTGCTGAACTACCACCAGGCTATACAGGAAGATATGGTTGAACAGTGGTGAGTTAACACATCTCATCTATCTTAAGGTTAACACACTCAAAATCTGACATACTCTGAGGAAAAATTGCCCTCCCCCCCATTCCTCATACTTTCAAAAAAAAAAAAAAAAAAAATGAAAGAAAATTTAAAGCAGATAATTTTATGGAGTTTGTGAAGGGAAAATGTAAATATTTCATTAAAACAGTTTGAAAATGCTTAGCCACAAAAAGGAAGTTAAAATATATAATAGAGGGATTGTAGATGCATTGATCAAGCAGTATACTAAATATAATAAACATGTGGTTTGTGCTATGCTGGAACAGACCAGATAAAACCAGTCTCTCATTTCTGCATGTGCTCAATTCTCACGTTAAATTATAAATGCAACTGTTTTGTAAAATTTATGGCAATTAAATGCTTTTTTACGTTCGGGTTGTATCAGTGGGGTTTTCAATATGCAGCGTGATTTGTGCACACCGAGAGTATATAAGTAAGAAAATCGGAAGAGTGCCAGCAAGGTACTGTATGTCTATCGGCACAGGTAGGCTGCGTATTTTGCCTTTTCTCAATGTTTTAATATGACATGCATTTTAAATAAAATACTTAAAAGTAATTTGAAGTTACACTGATTTCCGTTTGAGTACCAGTTGGTATTCTTTGATACGGGTGATTGAATTTTCTTCGGAAGTACGTACGTCTATGCCTCGACGCTGATCAAGCCTTGGAGGATTGAAAACAACTGATCTCAGACTGGTAAAAAAATTCAATTCGGTTGATTTCTGTTGTCATATTAAAATTCAAATAGGGCGTACGTAGATCACATAACTAGTTTAAGTCCACTAAAGCTACCGGTTTCAAATATAAGTGACCGGCCTTTGTTTACAACACCTGTACGTCTCCGGGGTGAAGCGCATCATGAAAATGATCGTAGGTGAGGGAAATATATAATTAGAAATTATAATTGTCGTCTTTTTTAATGTTAAGTAATGTTAGCACATATTGTACACAGCAAAATAAGATTTCAGAAGGAGGACAGAACATGCCTGAAACACGTGTTAGGCGAAAATTGCGGCTTATCTTGCGTAACACTTCCGGTAAAATGCAATACTTCCGGAAAGATGGACGTTTTGGCAGATACCCCTAACAATTCGACGATATCAAAGGTTTCCATTTGCTGTATTTTAATCAATTCGACCAAACTGACATTTCCATGAAATTAATTAATTAATCTTGGTTGAATTGTTTGGCATATTACCGTAGTCTTTATACTAGTATGTACACTACTGTTGTGATCTCATTGTACTAGTCTTTATACTAGTANGATATCAAAGGTTTCCATTTGCTGTATTTTAATCAATTCGACCAAACTGACATTTCCATGAAATTAATTAATTAATCTTGGTTGAATTGTTTGGCATATTACCGTACATGTTAAAGATACTTGAAGTCTTATCCAGCGAGAGCTTATTCGAGAGTCACTCCTGTTATCAGTATCATGTTTTGTAGTGGAAGTTATTGTTGGAATTTTGAAACTATTTATATAAAAATGCAATTCCCAGTAAGATGGGCTTAACTTCAGCAGTTCTAATGTGTCTATAGACACGCAGAAAACCGAATGGTAGAAAACAGTAATCGCTGTTTGCTTCCAGAATTTTTCATTGATATTAGTATTACTGAACCTAAAACACTAAACCCAATATGCAAAACAAACAAAAATTCCTTTTTCTGTTTCAGTAAGGACATTTTGCTAGAGTATACCCTATTAGCAAGTACATGTTCAGAGGACTTTATAGCAAATCAGAAAGACATAGATGTGGCTGTTAACAGGATAAATCATCTTACAGAATATGATGGATTCCTGGAGAAATACAAGTAAGATGGTTTATAAAAGATATTTAACATGGACAGTTTATGCCTGCCAGAGAAAAACAATTATGGACTATTTGAAGCATCAACACTGTTGATTATTTAAAGTATCAATACTAACATGCATGCTGGCTAGCGCACACACACACACACACACACACACACACACACACATTACCTTTCTGTACATTACCCTGACTTATTACTGCTAACTGTATTGATTTCATTCCTATTTTTAACCAGTGAGGCAGCAGTAAAAGCAGCAATGGGGCATAAAATGGTGTTCTATCCAATACGCGATCATCCCCATACATACCATATGCCATAACTGTAAATGTATCACATGAGAACACAATTCTTTTGATGCTGAATATATCCTCTTCTCTTATCAGAGACAGTCAAATTGAAGAAGACACTGTTGTGTTTGATGAAGGCTTATTAGAAGACTACAGTGGAACATTACAGAAGGATAAAATAGCTGTTGATGATCTCAATTTGGAGAGTGTTGAGCACAGGTAAATGCTTTATTGGCTAGTTTCACTTGGAATTTTTTTAAATGGCAAAAATATGTTATCACTTACTGAGTGCACTTTGAAGATGGCTTGAATCGGGGGAGGGTCAGGCAAAAGTGAAATCTGTCATTGTGCCAAAAATAGCAGAAAAAGCACAAAATCATTACCATTATTAATATAGTTTCAGTTACCACAACATTTTGAGAGCAAAATTCAATTTATGAAATGAAGCTGTCAGTTTTGCATGCCCCCCCCCACTTCTACAAGGTCCCCCCCTCTCTCTCTCTCTCTCTCTCTCACACACACACACACACACACACACA